GTTGCTTCACTGGCCCAAGTTGGCACCATCATTGCGCTTTTCCCGGGTGAGGCACATCAGTCGGCCGGCTTCTGGACGGCCGCTCACAGCGGCTTGAGGGCCGCTCACGCTGGCTGCTGGCTACACACCGTAGCCCATGGCAACCCACTGCCACAGGGGCTGCAGTCTATGCTGTCACCAGCGACTCACAGCAGCCCAGCTCCAGGTTGAGCTGTTGTTCACCATCTTAGCTGTAGAAGGCAGTGTCACTGGCCCTCATATGTGGGATCTGAATTGGGGCCCTGCTGCTCACAGCTGGTGTCCCAAGCCAAGTCTAACCAACGTGCCACTCGGCTGACCCAAATATATTTTGAAATAAGGAATGAGGTCATACATCATCTTTATCTTTCCAACTGGCTCCTAGTTTTCCAGACACTTTTAATGGACAATGTTATCTTTTCTCCACTAATTCCAAAATATTACCTTTACCAAAATCTAAGTTGTCATATGCCCTTAGTTTATTCCCACACCTTCTATTCTGTTTCATAATATTTTAATTACCATATCATACTTTTTAAATTTTTTTTTTAATTGGGGAACAGCGTGCTTTTCCACGACCCATCTAGCTCCAAGTCAAGTAGTTGTTTCAATCTGGTTGTGGAGGGCGCATCTCAGTGGCCCACGTGGGAATTGAACAAGCAACCTTGGTGTTATGAACACACGTGCTCTAACCTATTGAGGTAACTGCCCCCCCCACCATATCATACTTTTAAAATTATTGTCACCTTATAATTATTTTAATATCTAGTGGAGATAGACTTTCCTCTGTTAGCTTCTTTTTTATACATTTCCTAGATATAGTTGTACTTAAAATGAAACTTTAAGATAATTTTTCAACTATCCAAAAAGTACTGTAAAATTTTCAAATCAGAATTGCTATAGATTTATAAATCAATTTAGGAGTAATTAATACTTTGTATAACTCGATCTTTTGATGTCTCTCTGGAAAAAAATAGCTTTTTTAATGTATGTTTTACACAATTTCTTTATTAATGTAGTATTTATAGGGCACCTGTAATGTGCAAGGCACTGTTTAAAATGTTGGACGTAAAATATGAATCAAATCTCTGTTTTCATGGAGCTTACAATCTGGTGGGAGAGGAAAACAATATTTTAAAAAACAAATAAACATATAGTATGAAAATTCGTGACAAGTGCTATAAAGAAAATAAAGCTGGATAAGAGGATAGAAAATAAAGGAAGAGGAATGGTCAGGGAAGGCCTTTCTGATTGGTGAAAGTTGAGCAGAAATTTTAAAAAGGTGAATGAACCAGCCAAGTGAATATCAGGATACAGAGCATTGCAAGTGGTAAGTACAAAGCCCTAAGGCTCAAGCATGATTGGCTTGTTTGAGGAACAGCAAGGAAGCTAGTGCGACTGAAGTATAGTTGATTAGATCTGAGTGGTAACCAGAGGCCAGGTTATGCAAGTCATTATAGGTCATGGGAAGGAGTTTGAATTTTATTTTCAGTGGGTTTTAAAGCCACTGGTTGGATTTAAACAAAGAAGTGTCATGTTTGATTTCTTCTTTTAAAGGATCACTATCATTTCTACCAGGAGAATGAGGTGGACAACGGTGTAAGCAGGGAAACCAGTTGAATCTGAGACAGATGATGGTCGATTGAGCCAGGGTAGTAGTGGTAAGGGTATTGTGTGGTCAGAACACAAAGAAGTAAGCCAGGGTCTCTTCTATCCATAAGGATTCACTAATCTAAATGTGTTCCTTAAGGGAGGGGAACACATGAGACAATGCATTAGTGACCTGAAGCCACCAGGAAGGTAGACCCTATACCCTGGATGATCTCTCTCTCTCTCTCTGTCTCTCTCTCTCTCTCTCTCTTGCTGTGAACCTGAAACTTCCCTAAAAAATAAAATCTATTAAAAAAAAAACCAGTGAGATACATAGAGGATTTTGTGAAAAGGGCTAATATATACTTAATGGGAGTTCAGAAGGAAAAGAGAAAGAAAGGGTGAGAGGAAATATTTGGAGATAAAGACTGAGAATTTCTCAGAACTGATTCAAGAACACAATCTACTAATTTAAGAAGCCCAATAAGGCTCATATAGGAAAAATAAATTTATGCCTAACATATTAGAGTGAAATTTCAAAATGACAAAAAAGCAAAGAGAAAAATCTTAAAAGTAGCCAATAGAGCAAAACCTTTCACCCTTGTTAAAGAAAGAAAGGCCAAAATTGAGTTACTGGTTTTTAAATTTTTTTGAGAGTTACAGGAGCAAAGATGTTTATTGAAGCGAAAGTACAGCTCTCTTATGAGAGGTGGTACCCGAAACTGGGATGCCCCTAAAATTTTTTTTTCAAACATTGTTCACTGCATTGGCCTCCTAGGGGAAACACAGTTTTATGGTTTGTTGGTTTTTTAACTTTATTGGGGAACAGTGTGTTTTTCCCAGCACCAAGTCAAGTTGTTGTCCTTCAATCTTGGTTGTGGAGGGCGCAGCTCAGCTCCAAGTCCAGTCGCTGTTTTCAATCTAGTTGCGGGGGCACAGTCCACCATCCCATGCAGGAGTCAAACCGGCAACCTTGTTGTTAAGAGCACGCACTCTAACCAACTGAGGCATCTGGCTGCCCACCAGCAGCTCAGGGGCAGCTCAGCTCAAGTCGTTGTCTTCAATCTAGTTGAGGAGGGCACAGCCCACTGGCCCATGTGGAAATCAAACTGGCAACCCTGTTGCTCAGAGTTCACACTCTAACCGACTGAGGCACCCGGCCACCCCCAAAATTGAATTAATTTTGCTATGCCATGCCACCAAACCAAAACTTAATAGATAACTTGATTGTAGTTTCAGACTCTCCCAGGAGTGGAATTTTTAAACCAATCAGTCTGGATAGTCTCACTCTCTTTCTGTCTATAAAAACCTTCCATTTTGTGCAACTCATCATAGTGCCCTTCTAGTTGCTAGATGGGATGCTGCGTGATTCATGAATTGCTTAATAAAGCTAATTAGATCTTCAGATTTGCTTGGTTGAATTTTGTTCTTTAACACCTGAAAAGAAGTAATAATTAGAATGATAGCTGAATTCTCACATGCAACTTTGCGAGCCAGAAGACAGTGAAAGAGCCTCAAGATGCTAACCTTGAAACTAATGGGAGAGGTGAAGGAATGATTTTTAATGTGACTAATCCAAAAGAGGAAAAACAATGAAAAGGGACACCAAGAGGTGGCATAAAGAGGCAGTACATTAAAAAGATTAATGCATGCACATTAAATTAGATGTAAATTGATTAAATGCCTCCATTAAAAAGAAAGATTAATGTGTGCACGTGTGTGTGCACGCACACACACACATACACACACACACACACACACACACACACACTACATGCTTTAATAGAAGACACATCTATGAGAAAAGGACACAAAACAGCTGAAAGTGTTACAGGCATCTCGGTTCTTCTTGCCAATGCAGTGAAGAATAAAAGGTCAGCAACCTGATTAATATGCAAGAAGGGTTTATTAGTGATACATTCTCAGGGAAGAGAACAGGCCTAGCCGAGGTGGGTGAGAGAGGCCTAGCCGAGGTGGGTGAGAGAGGCCTAGCAGAGGTGGGGAGTTACATATTTATTTGGTGGGAAAAGGTGGTGCATGCTCTTCCACAGGAGGGTGTGACCTCCTAAGATGGGTGGAGGGCTGTTGACTTACCGTATTTCCCCATGTATGAGACGCACCTTAATTTTGGGGCCTGAAATTTGAAAAAAAAAAAGTATTACATAAAGTTATTGAACTCAAGTTTTATTCATCATAAAATTCATACAACTCTTCATCACTGTCAAAAAAATCTACAACCACTGTATAAGATGCACCCAGTTTTTAGACCCCAAATTTTTTGAAAAAGTGTGCATCTTATACATGAGGAAATACGGTAGATCTTATCTTGCTCCAGACCACCTCTCCTCATCTGTTGTTGTACAAACAGATACATGGTTGAAGGCAGTTAATCAAAACTATTTATGAGCTTTTTCTGTAGGCACTATGGACCCCCTTCCACCACTCCACCTTCTACATTTTCTGACTTGTACCTAACAAAAATTCAAAAGATATGGGGAAATATATGCCACTCGAACACTACCTAAAAGAATGCTAATATAAGCTATATTGATATCAGACAGAATACACTTTAAATTTTAAAAGTATTAGAGATGCAATCATCCCATTTACCAGGAAGCTAATATAATAACTGTAAATAATTGTGTACCCAAAAAATATGGACTGAAAATGTATAAATAAAAATTGACAGAACTACAAGGACAAATAGAATAACCAATCATACTGGACAATTTTAACTCTCAGGTAGCTGTCTTCCCAGCTCCTACCAGACAGGCTTTTACCAGTAACCCTGGCAACTGGGCTCTAGTAACACCACCTCCTGCCTTTGACCCCCACCTCGCCTAGGGGTAGTACTTGCTCCCTGCTATTCTGGGCTGCCCTTCATTGTCCCGTTTGGTTTATCAGTTCTTCCATTACCTGTGTAATCCATTCCCTGTAATATTATATTCCCTCTTCTATTTTAAACACTCAGAGAAGTTTATATTTTCTGATTGATACCCTTGCAAAGGAAAATAAACTAGGATTAGACTTTTCATCTATGATACAGAAGGCTAGAAAACAGTGGAATACTACCTGCAGAATGTTGGGAGAGAACTGCTAGCTAAAAAATCTCGTACCTAGTTGTGACAGGCTGCTTCTAAAATGGCTCCCAATGATCCCTACCTCCTAGAATGCACTCCCCTGTGTACCTCCCCCTCCCCCATCTGTGCTTGAGTGACTTGCTTATAACAGATTATGGCAAAAGTGATGGGATGTCACTTTCATAATTAGGTTATGAAAGACTGTGACTTCTGTTTGTTTACATTCTCTCTATGGCTCTTCTTGTGTGATTATTCTGATGTAGGGAGCTACCTGGCAAAGAACTCAAGCCCTCAGTCCAACAGCCAGCAAGGAAGTGAATTCGGCCAATCCAGTCATTCACTCCAGTCATGTGAATGAGTTTGGAAGTGGATCCTGTCCCAGCTGAACCTTGAGATGACACTGCAGCTCTAGCTGACGCCTTGTAACCTGTGACAGACACTGAATGGACACCTTAACAGTAATCTTATGAGAGATTCTGAAGCAGATGATCCAGTTAGGTCATGCTCATATTCCAGACCCACAGAAACTGTGGTATCATAAATGTGTGTTGCTTACACCAGTAAGTTTTATATTTTTAGAAAAGTGGAATTTGAGGTTACATGCAATAAGCAAGACAAAAAGGGGCACAAACTGTCCAATCTTTGATGAAGAGCCATAAACATGTATGTACTAAATTATTATAGCAGCTTAAGATTTAAAGCACAAACTCTTAGAAACACATGAAGATTTTTATAAAAGCCACAATCACAATGGGAGATTATAATATATCTCCTCAAGAATTTAACTGATCAAGTAGGTAAAAAATAAGCTGGAGGGTAGATGATTTGATTAATATAACCAACAAGCTAATATATAACCATATATATGTTTATACACATCTAAAAATGTAAATTATTTTCTAATGTCCATTAATTGTGTGCTTCATCACAGAAGAAAAACATCAATTTAAAAGAAGATATTTTAGAAGATATACTTTCTCATTATAATCCAGTAAAATTAGAAATAAGTAATAATTTCACTCCTGGGTATTTATCCAAAGAAATCCAAAACATTAATTTGAAAAGATATATGCACCCCTGTGTTCACTGCAGCACCATTTACAATAGTCAAGATATAGAAACAACTGAAATGTCCCTCATAGATGATTGGGTAAAGAAATAGTGCTAACAAAAATACAGTGGAATATTGGCCATAAAAAAGAATGAAATATTACATTTGCAACAACATGGTTGGACCTAAAGGGTATTATGCTTAGTGAAATAAGTCAGACTGAGGAAGACAAATACCATATGATCTCACTTATATGTGGAATTTAAAGAACAAATTAAATGAACAAGCAAAGCAGAAACAGACTCATAGAAAGAGAGAACAAATTGATGGTTGCCAGAGGGGAGAGGTATTGAGGCGCTGGGTGAGAAAGGTGAAGGGATTAATAAGTACAAATTGATAGTTACAGGAGAGTCACTGGGATGTAAAGTACATTATGGGCAATACAGTCAACAGTACTGTAAAAACTGTATGGTGTCAGATGGTGTCAGACTTATGAGGGGGTCACTTCATAAATTATATAAATGTCTAATCACTATGCTATAAACCTGAAGCTAATATAAAATAATATTGAATGTCAATTATAATTAAAAAGAAAATAGTCATTGGGGGCCTGCCGAGTGGCTCAGTTGGTTAAGAGCACAAGCTCTGAGCAACAGGTGGCAGGATGGCTCAGCTGGTGAGAGCACATGCCCCTAACAACAAAGTTGCCAGTTCGACTCACACATAGGATGGTGGGATAAGCCCACCTGCAGCTAAGATTCAACAGGGTACCTTGAACTGAGCTGCCAACGAGCGGCCAGCTGGCTCAGTAGTTAGAGCGTGTGCTATTAGCAACAAGGTTGCCGGTTTGACACCCGCATGGGATGGTGGGCTGTGCCACCCCCGCAACTAAGATTGAACATGGCACCTTGAACTGAGCAGCTCTGAGCTGTCCACTGGCAGCCTGATGGTGGCTGGACTTGGAGCTGAGCTAGCTGACCTTCCACAACTGAGATTGAAGGACAACAACTTGGCTGGTCCCCTTACCCAATTCCCCAATTTAAAAAAAAAAGAAAAGAACAGAAGGAAAGAGAAGAAAAAAAGAAATAGGAACTAAAAAAAAGTTAATTCAATAAATAAATAAATAATTAAAAAGTTAATTCAATTTATTACAGCTTCCACCTTTGTTGTGTGTGTACAATTTGCAAAATTGTTTGCAAGTGGAATATGCTGCACAAATCTGCAAAAAGTGGACATTTATTATATGTTAAATCAGGCAAAAGCAAGTAGCATTCAAAGGACTGTCTTTTATGCTGAGGCCTTTAAATCCCTCATGTTTTTAAATCAAGCTTTCAACACCAACCTTCTTTCCGCTGCCTTGTAAACAAGGAAGGAAATTTTAATTAAGTGAAATTAAGAAAGGGCTACTCCAAATAGAAAATAAGAAAGGAACGTTCTGTTAGTTCCAGGATTCAGTGTCCCACAAGATCAGGAACAACATCTTAGGAAAGGCTGGGCTGAGAACTCGGACAAGGTATGTGGATGTGCAGTGACATCCCTGAGGGTCCAGAGCTTCTGTGGGCCCGGAGTGCTCCAACTATCCAACTCAGTGAGATTTCCTGCCAGTTCCTACACTGGCTTGACTGGGTGTAATTAGAACATGAAATGCTCATAGTCCAATCTTCTGGAGCTCTGTGATCACATTTAATAATGGCTGGTGGGAAATATTCCACACATTGTTATGGAATTTCTTCAAGTGATTGCTAAAATATATGGGGTCCAAATGTTCTGTAGTACTGCTAAATGTTTTGTTGTGGGAGAGTGTGCCCTTCTCGGTGCAAAGTCCAGGTCCTTGGCAACTTGAGCAAAGAATTGAACGAGATGCCGGAGTAATGTAACTGAAAAAGTAGTTTATTCAAAGAGATAGAACATTTCAAAGAGTTTGGAGCGGGCCACGTGCAAAGGCGAAGCTCAAAAGGCTCAAAAAAAGGGAGGAAGGGGTTCAAAAAGGGAAGAAGCGGTCAAAAAGAGAGCAGAGCGGACTTCCCAGGACTTGGAGTTTTTAATCCCTTTCTCTAGAATGGGCTGTTCCCCTATGGGCATGGGACCACTTGATTGGCAACTGTGATTAACGAGAGGTACTGCGCAGGTGCCAGTGACTGGTCTGACCTAGTTGGGTATTTTGTGCCCACTTGTTTTCCCACAGGGGTAGATAATTACAACACAAAGGGGAGTTTTGGGTATAGGGGGAATGTCCCCTTGGTGGTCGCACTCTGTGAGACGTGCAAGAATGCAGAGACCCAATGCCTGCCTCTAACTACCTGCCTTGATTTCCCCTTGAGAGACGTGATCCCCATAAAATCTCTATGGGAAGTTGAGGGACAGGAGATCTTTTCTTCTGTATCTGCTTCCTGCTGGGCAGGGGCATAGAGTTGTCCCTGCCTATTAGGGGATTCATGGAACTCTCACCCTAGCTGATCTCAGATGAGAGAAAGGGGTCTTGAGGTCCACCTGGAAGACTGTATTGGCTTCTTTGGTTGTGACTGGCAAACTTGTTGGGGTGTCCTCTGTATCCCCAAGGCCCCTGAATGAGGAGAAATAGATTTTAATTAATAAATCTGATAGCTCTCATGAAGCCTGTGGCCATTCAGCCTGTCATTCAGGTGGCGTCAATTGTCTGGGCGCAGAATGGGTTTGACATTTAGCTTACTGGCCTGGGGGATATTAGGAAGTCACGCTTTCAAGTAGTTATCTGAAGCAAGGGTAGGAGACTTCTATTGTTTAGGATTCAGAGGCAGGGGGATAGGATAATTCTATGATTCAGGATAGGAGCAATCTTTAGTCTAGGATTCACAAACTGTTTAGAAAAGTAATCAAAGCCAAGAGCTAAAAAACTAAGGAAATAGGGAGGAGACTTAACATTTCTATATTTAACATTTCTATAGGAAAGAAAACTTACAAGTTTCTCATTGGTGGGGGGCTGCTCAGATGGCCGGTAACAGTTTTATCTAGATCAGGGGTCAGCAAATTTTTGAGTCCGAAGAGCCGCCAGGGGTCAGCAAACTGCGGCTCGCGACCCACAGGCTCTGAAGTAAAATTGAAAATGAAAATAAAACTATCATAGTTTCATTTATAAAATTTTAAAGGATATTATTCACATAATGGTGATTATGTAAAAATATATTGATGGTTCTCAAATAATTTTTCAATTGTTATGAGGGACAGCATTGGCTCTTCCAGGGGTCGGCAAACTTTTGAGATAGAACGTACCCAAAGAGCAGCATGTGTCTTGCGAGCTGCAGTTTGCCGACCCCTGACCTAGATAATCTATAGATCCATAAATTGCTCCCAGATATTTAGCAGAGTTAACTGTTCAGAACTTTTTACCTCAATGGCAGAAACAAAAGAAAATGCATTGTTTAGTATGCTGACCACCAGCCACACGTGGCTATTGAATACCTGAAATTCAGCTAATCCAATTGGAAATGTGTTGGAAGTGTAACTATAAACACAATGTCAAAGACTTGGTATGAAAACAAACAAACAAACAAGAAAATTAAATATCTCATAATTTTCATGCTGTTTAATATTGATATATTTTGGATATATCGAATCAAATATATTAAGATTTATTTGACCTGTTTCATTTTTTAAAATGTGGCTATTGGAGCATTTAAAATTACATATGTAATGCCAGCCGAGTGGCATGTTGGTTAAGAGCTGGCTTGGGAAGCCAGAGTGCCCCAGTTCGGATCCCACATATGAAGGCCAGTAACACTGCCCTCCACAGCTAAGATGCTGAACAACAGCACAACCTGGAGCTGGGCTGCCTTGAGGCAATGGCATAGGCCGCAACCCTGCTGTAGTGGGTTGCCATGGGCTACCGTGTGTAGCCAGCAGCCAGCGTGAGCGGCCCTCAAGCCGCTGTGAGCGGCTGTCCAGAAGCCGGCCGACTGATGTGCCTCGCCCGGGAAGAGCGCAATGATGGTGCCAACTTGGGCCAGTGAAGCAACGTCCTCCACAGCTAGACTGCAGAACAAAAAGACAGCAACTTGTCTGTTCCCTTTCCCCCAATTCCCCAGCGCTGTTCCCATCCCCCAATTCCCCAATAAAATCTTAAAAAATAAATAAAATTACACATGTAGCTCACATTTGTGGCTTGCATGCTATTTCTATTGGACAGTACTGCACTAGATATTGACTATGGTTTCCCGAATTACTGTTCTTTTGACTCATCCCGAGTTCCAACCAGTACAGGAATAATGGTAAATCCATTTTTATGGCTTGCCATGGCTTTTACAGTGCACAACCAATGTATGTCAGCAGTGTGCTCATCTTCAGTTCTCCATAATCTTTTGATTAACAGGGAGGTCATATGGAGGGGCCCTGTGCCTATCTACACTGTAAAGTTTACATAGAGGAGCCCCTGATGGGAAGGCCATAGCACGGGCAAAAACAAAACCCTCAGTAAGTTGTCCTGCAACAAGTGTGACAATGGCTCCTGTGAATCTTTTTTGTTGACCGACCGTGCGAAAGCCAACCTTTTAGCTGTGCACTCAGCTGAGGTCCTGCGACTGTCTACCGCTGTGTACAGCCCGATCACTCGGTTGGGCGTCTGGCGCAGGACAATGAACTGAGTGGGGGCAGCGGCAGGAGCGGCTCCAGAAGCGATCTGCCAACGGGAGTCCGACGGGGGGACTAGGAGGAGGAGGGAGAGGGAGGGGGAGAGGAGAAGGAGGAGGAAGAGGGGAGGAGGAGGACGGGGGGAGGAGGTGGAGGGGGGAGGAAGAGGAAGCAGCGACAGAGGAGGAGGAGATAGCATCCGGGGCGGCGAAGCCGGAAGTTGGGGCTCCAGAAGCGATCTGCCAACGGGAGTCCGACGGGGGGACTAGGAGGAGGAGGGAGAGGGAGGGGGAGAGGAGGAGGAGGAGGAAGAGGGGAGGAGGAGGACGGGGGGAGGAGGTGGAGGGGGGAGGAAGAGGAAGCAGCGACAGAGGAGGAGGAGATAGCATCCGGGGCGGCGAAGCCGGAAGTTGGGGCTCGCGGAGGCGTTCTCCAGCGGGGAAAACCCTAGTTCGGGTCCACGGAGTTGCTGCTTCTCCAAACCCGGGCTGATTACAGCGTGCCGCCCTTCTACCCCTGCCATCCCCTTCCTGCCTCTTTGAGTGACGCGGTATCTGGGGCTCTGCATCCGTCTAACTCCCGTTCGACCCGGCTTGCCCTGCCCATCCGCCCCCACAAGCCGAGTTTTTTTGAAAGGACCAATAAAATAGACAAACTCCTGGCTAGCCAGACTAAGGTAGGAAAGAAGAAAAGGAGGAAGGGAGGGAAGAAGCGGGTAAAATATTAGTAATGACAAAGTAGATAAAAACACAGCTATATCATATAGTAAAAGGCTTTTAAGAGAATATCGTGTGCAACGAATGTGAATATATAGGAGGGATGATATTGACCCAAGAATACCTGAAGAGAGCAATAACTATAGAAGAGAATGGAAAGTCAGCAGGTCCACTTGGTCGGACAACAAAGTTCTAGCTAAGCTTTATGAAACAAATAATTTTAATGTTATTTAGTCCCGTCTAGACCAGTGTTTTTCGAAATATCTGCAGTGAAGGGACAGTTTTTAAAATATTTACAATTATTGTGGAGATATACTTTTGTAAAATTAAATAAAAATAATTAGAAAAATGAAATAAGCAAAATGCAAGCCCAATTTCTAAAGTTTAAGATTCATCAGAAATAAATTACATTTTATTAAATACAATCACAACAAATTTAGCATAGGGACAAAAATAATTACAAAAACTGAATGCGTTATTCATTGATGAGTACACTGATCACTGCTTAGGTGTCATGATGATGTCAAATTTGTATAAAGGTTTCTGAACCCTCTTCATTTCTCTACTTATCTCATCATGAATAGGTAACAAACAGTTCAGGGACTGGCACCAGTCTTCAGACCACAGAAAAAGATGGAAAGATCCCAAATTCATTTTGCAAAGCCTTCCATATGGTAAAAGGACTTCAAAAGATGATAATGTATGTACAAAATATACACATAAAAATTCCAAATAAAACATTAATAAACTGAATCTAGCAGTGTGACACTATGACCAAGTGGAGTAGTTTATTTCAGAAATGCAAAAATGATTCAACATTAGGAAGTCTGTCAACATAATTCATGACATAGAGCAAGGAGAAAGTCCATAATATTATCAATAGAAACTGAAAAGGCATTTAAAAATTCAGCAGCCATTCCTAATAAATATTCAAAGTAAAGTGGAAATTAAAAAGAAACTACTTAAATGTGATAAAGATTGCTTAGCAAAACTCAACAGCAAACATTATCCTAAATGATGAAATAATAAATTCATTTTCCAGGAATAAGAGAAGGATGCTATCACCACTGTAATTCAACAGTTTTGGTTGTTCTAACTAATCCAATAAGACAAGACAATGAAGTAATATGTGTAGCAGACTGTTAGCTGTCTTCAAAAATGTGTTCTCCCCTTCCTTAAAAACACAGTTTTAGCTGAGGATGTGGATGAAAGACTGCATTTCCCAGTGTCTTTCCCTCTTTTTAAATACCTAAACACTATATTGTGCAATAGTATGTTTTAAAAATTAAATGAAAATATATTGCATGAGTAAATTAGCAAAGTTGTACTCTCAATACTTTTTTTTTGAGTCCCATTTGTAATTTATATCACATATATATTACGTAAGTACTACATATATATTACATATATGTTTTTTAATAATGGTGTTGCATAACTTTTGTAATACTCTTTTTTACCTTAATGTCACTGGTGTGCAGCTAAATTTTGTCCAAAGACATTTGAATTTTCATTTAGATTTTTTGCTATTGCTGTTTTTATAATTGCTGTTTTAGTTATTGTTCCTTTGGTCATCCTTGTACATGTCTGTTTTAAATTATAATTTTCAGGTGTACAACATTATAATTTAACATCCATATACACTGCAATGTACTCACCCCCAGAAGTCTAGTTGCTATCATCCATCACCATACAATTGACCTTCTTCACCCCTTTTGCCCACCCTTCTGAACCCTCTTCCCCTGTGATAACCACCAATTCGTTCTCTGTATGTACACATTGTTTTCATTTTATTTTGTTTGTTCATTCAGTTTTTTTAATTCCACATATAAATGAAATCATACAGTAGTTTTCTTTCTCCTTATTTATTTCACTTAGCATTATACCCTCAAGGACTATCAATGTTGTTGCAAATGGCAAGAATTCATTCTTTATTAAGGCTGAGTAATATTCCACTGTATTGTATATATACCACTTCTTTATCCATTCGTCCATTGATGGATACCTAGGTTGTCTCCATATTTTGGGTATTGTAAATAGCATTGCAATGAACATAGGGGTGCATATGTCTTTTTGAATTAGTGTTTTCATATTCTTCATATAAATACCCAGAAATGGATCACATGGTAGTTCTATTCTTAATTATTAAAGGAATCTTTATACTATTTTCCATATTAGCTGCACCAATTTACAGTCCCAACAGTGCATGAGGGTCCCAGTTTCTCTTAAAGCTAATTGCAGCCACATGACTGTGTTTGTACCAGTGGAATATGCACAGACTTGATAAGGTCAACATGACCCTCAATTGCTTAAAAGGAAATTACTTGCCTTACACTTTTCTCCTACCCTGCTCCCTACCAGCTGGAATATATATCTAACTGTAACTCAGCATCAATGGTGCAGATGAGTACAACATTCCAGTAGATTGCAGGGCAATAAGATGAAGGGAACATGGGTCACTGAATAACCTTGATGAGCAAGGATGTTCCACCATCTGGACTGGTCAAGACTATGTAAGAAACAAATAAACTTTAATCTTATTTACACCATTCTCTCTCTCTCTCTCTCTCTCTCTCTCTCTCTCTCTCTCTCTCAGGTGTGTTTAGCTGTTACTAAAACTAAAACACTAGGAACGCATATTAGAAAAAATGTGCAAAAAATATATTTTTTTAATTTTGTAATTATTTTTTTTCTTTAATTGGGGAATTGGGGGAGGGGAACAGTGTTGGGGAATTTAGGAAGGGAACCAGCCAAGTTGTTGTTCTTCAATCTTACATGTGGAGGGCACTAGTCACCATCTGGCTGCCCGTTGGCAGCTCGTGGCCTCTAAGCTCAAGGTGCTGTGTTACAATCTTAGTTGTGGGGGGGTGTATCCATCATCCCATGTGGGAGTCAAATCAGCAGCCTTGTTGTTAAGAGAACATGCTCTATCCATTGAGCCATCTGGGTGGCAGCTCAGCTCAAGTTGCTGAGTTCAGTCTTAGTTGTGGGCGGGCATAGCTCACCATTGAACAGGCAGTCTTGTTGTTAGGAGCATGTGCTCTCACCAGCTGAGGTATCCTGTAACCTGCTGGCAGCTCAGTGGCAGCTCAGCTCAGGCACAGTGTCACTGGCCCATGTGGGAATCAAACCGGCGGCCCTGTTGCTCAGAGCTCACGCTCTTAAGCTAGCTCTTAACCAACTGAGCCACTTTGCCAACCAATATTTTTAAATTATATTTTTAGAAAACTTAATAGACTCTAGTTTTACAAAAACTACCAGAAATAATACAGGTTTTTGGTAAGGTTGTTAGTTATATGAAAATTAGCAAAAAACAATAATATTTGTTTATGTTATCAATAACCAGCTAGAAATATTAATGGGAAAATATTCCATTTTCAACACTGACAAAGATTTAAAATATCTGGGAATGAATGGAGGAGGAAATACACAGGATTTATATGAAGAAAATTATAACTTCTTATTAAAGATCATAAAATAAGATCTGACCAAATGGAAAGACATAATATTATAAGAATATTCATCTTCGCTAAATAATAAATATGTACAATTTACATAGGAATCTCTATAAAAATCTCATTGAATTGGATAAAATACTTTTATATTTTAATTGTTATAAAAATTAAAACTTTATTCTTTTAAGTGAGTTAAACATTCATATGGTTTAAATTTAAAAGTTGCCAAGAAACATGCAGTGATAAAACTCTCTTCCCCCCTACACCCCAGCCATTTAGTTTTCTTCCACATAAGCAGTTTAGGCCACCAGTTTCTCCTGTATACTTTCAGAGATAGTTGAATCACTTCTTTTACACAAGTGGTAGCACAATATACACATTGTTCTTCATATTGCTTTATTTATCTTAACAATATAACTTTGAGATGTACATATACATGTATAAAATACAATGTAACTTTGTTCCTTTTTGTATACAGAGTTTCATTTTATAGATATGCCATGTTTAACTGGTCCCTGTTGATGGACAAAATGCTTTTTTTTTAACCAACCTTCTGCTATTATAAACAATGTGTCAATGAATAACATTGTACATAAAATGTATGTATTCCCAAATATATATGTAGGATACATTTCTAGACACAGAATTTCTGAATCACACAGCATGTGCATTTTAAATTCTTATAGATATTGCCAAATCACTCTCCATAAAGCTAAATGAATTTACACTCCCACCAACAATGTATAAAAGTGCCTGTTTTCCTGCACACTTACAAGAAGAGTGTTTTATTAAACTTTTTGGTGTTTGCTTAGCTATGAGGCAAGAAGGGTATTTCAATATGGTTTCATTTTGTATTTTTCTAAATATGAGTGAGTTTGAACATGTTTTCATAAGTTTAAGGGCCATTTTTATTATGGTTTTGTGAACTGTATGTTCATATTCTTTTCCCATTATTCTAGTGGGTTG